CCCAAGTCTAAAGGAAAAGGAAAGCCTCCTGAGCCTGGCAGGACTGGAACCAACTCATTCCTCTCTGCACACACCTGAACTTCCCACCAAAGCCAGCCCAGAAGTCAACCCTAGAGATGGTCTTTGCTGTGAAGGTTGGTTCTACCTCATTTAGCTCACAAACAGTCAAATCTTGACAGCGCCATCCAGGCATCTCTTCCAGCTCTCCAGAGGCCATGTCAGAAACATATTAAGCACCTCAATCACCTCTTCCTCCCCTTTCTATCTTGCCACAGCCTGCAACATTGGTCTGCCTGTGAAAGCAAAGATCCCAGACACAGGTTCCTAAGGCAGTGATAGGATAGTCCCTCATGGTGTGCAGAAACCCTGGATGTATTTTCCAGACTACTGTGCTGGTAACACTGGGTGAGTGAGTATCATGTCTACCACCTTATCCTTTAGCATGTCCTCCAAAGAGTGAGAGAACTGGAGAACTGGGACTCACTCTTCTCCTCATTTACTCCTCACCTTCGGAAAACGTGGGGGGACGTTGGTGCAGAATTTGTCAGGCAAAGGGTGTTACAGCGGCAGCACAAGTGCCAGAGACAGACTGGCAAGAGCTTATGAATAACACGATGGATGATCTATAGCCAAAGCCATGGGCAAGCACTAGCCATTAGTCTGGGCGCTGGTAATGCACTCCCCGAGTCCATTACTCACCAATCCATCAGGCAGCCTGCTACAGACGGAGAGATTCCAGCACTTCTAAATCTGTAACGCGATGGCTGGCAGCCTGCACTACATGCCCTAGGTTACAAGGGCACAGAGGAAGACAATTCATTTTGTGTCATAGCCAGTATTTCTTCTTCTCCTTTGCTGTGTGTACTTAAGAAATGGACCTTCTATTATCTGCAGATTGATAGCCAGGAGAATGCTCTGGTGTCTCCGATCACATTTACTACTGAGGAAGCTTTCAAAGGATGCCAAACCTCGCTGTTCTCATTACCTGGACGAAGTATGGAAACATGCACAAGTACAGATGGAATTTCTTAATTTGTGAACAGTGCCTATAGTTATTTTAGAAAAACACTACAGTTATGAGACACTATTGTAACACTGGATATGACAGATTCAAGGCTGCCAGCATAATCTGGGCCCTTCTATATAAACATATGCTATGGGCTCTAATGCCCATCTCACACTATCCTGGCCTCATCCACATGGAGAATAATGTGCACAGAAGAGGAATCAGTCAGTGTTTCCTGGTCTCTGCCACAGCTCAGTGTGTGGCTCCAGCTCCAACTTTCATTTAGTGTCCCCTTTTCAAACCTCTCACAGAACTTTGTTATTAAGCTGCTTGTGGAATTCCTATGACATTCATCACTCTCAGTTCTCTGGGAGCATTCCCTAATCTCAGCACCCCTGTGAGGAAAAAGTTTTATCATCTGCACTTTACAAATGCCACACAGAGGCAGAGAGAGACCCAAGCACCAGGTCTGTCCTCTAAATCTAGGCTCTTGATTCTAGGTGTCTAGTTCTGATTTGTGAAGCACTTAACAACTTTATAGAGTTTCATATGTTTCAAGCAAAACCATCAGTGCTCAGCAATTCTGGAAAGAAACACCTTTGTGTTCCAGGCTGAAAAACTGGAAGACAAGGACAATTAGAGCTGTCTGCAAGAGTTGTGGCTCATCCACTGCCTCCAGTAACATAACAAACACAGCAACCAAACAGCTGTATCTGTCACTAAAGGCAGCTCACAAGCCATTGCCTGCCATTCATCCAACACTTCCAGGTTCCACAACAGCAGGGTGAGAAATCCCTCACACAGGAACCACCTGTGCCACATGCTGATCTGTTCCCAGTGCAGTATCTGTGCACAGAGCAAGTCACCAAGGAACAGCCACTTGCACCTGGGCTGGGCTGAATTGCACTAGCATGCCAGGTTCTGCAGTTTGGGAATGTGGGTCAAGAGGCGCCAAGCAACCAAAAAGAGTGTCTTTCCATGGAAAATGTCAGTACTACCTTTATGTGACAATATGAGTCAATATTGACATGGAAATTAAACACAGAAACTTCACACATTAAAACTTAAATAGCAAATCAACTTTGAATGCACATTTCTAGCACACTTCTAACTTTCCCTTGCCACAGCCAAAATCTGTAATAATGAAAACACCAAAACCTCCCTTTTCTCCTCCCTGACCCTGTTCTCCCCACCTGCAGCTGCCTTGATGTATGTTTTAATCAAGCTTTGCATCCAGGACTCTGAGTAGAAATAGGAAATGCTGCTTGTGTCCAACATGGGTGGATTCATGTTGTGGTAAGCAAACGAAATTTCTCATCTCATGGCTTTTGAACACCCAGATTTGCAATTCAAAAACCACTGACATATTTTGGTTTGTTTTCCTTTTCTGAAGTCTGGTCATAAGAGAAAAGGGGCAGCCTGAAGCGTGAGGCACGGCCAATGCAACGCACAGGAGCTCCCACTCCCTGCCCTGGCTCGAATGAGGACTAGGAAGCAGGGAAATGGAAGAACAAATAAAAAATGGAAAAACAATGCAAGGAAAAGCATATGAACCTGAAATCAAAGCTTTGTCATGACAAGGAACATCACCACCCTATGGAAGGAGGAAGGGACGAAGGGACGCACAGTGATGAAATAGGAGCGGTAGGAATTCATTTGCCTTGGAGGCATCCCCACGCATGAACTCACACAGGCACAGAGCAAACCCAGCTCCTGCTATTCCTTCAGGGAACCCTCACCCTCAGGCTAATCCTAAAACAAGCATTAACCTACTTATTGCGCCCTGGGGCAGTTTGCAGGGTGAGGAAACTGCCTGTTTGGGAGGAAGGGGAGCAGATCTCAGCATATGAGTACAATAACCTGAGAGCGACAGCAGAAACCTCTTGTCATTTTGGCAGAACTGGGTTAAGGCAGGACACCCTCCTGTACTTGTTTTGAGCCATCTCCTCACGTGATTAGACACGTGTAACAAGTGTAACTTTATTAGAACAGAAGTGTCACTGTTTTAGGAGCCCTTCGCTGGGGCAGCTTGGGAAGCTTCAGCTTCTTTGTTTTGCCACTAAAGCTCTGCCTGCACAATGAGGGCCCAGGCTGAGTCACCTGTGCCAGATCTGTTCTGTCTGTCTCATGGGATGGGGGAGGGACAAGGGATAATGTGATGATCCCCCTGCTCACAAAGCACCCCCAAATCTCAACTGCTCTCAAACAGCCAAACACCACTTGACAAAATGGGGGAATATCAAGAGCTCCTTTCCTCTGGGCCCAGGCTCACCAGGCTTGGCTGGTTGAGCAGTGTTGGTCCCTTCAGCAGATTTATCCTGCATGATACTGCTGCAGCTTTTAGCACAGGTCACCGTGGTACCACCTTTGAGACACAGATGTATAGGTACTGTAGCAGAAAGTCCCAGTCCTGGGTGTGGGGACAATGCGGTGACAAGGACAAGAGCAAAGACAAAGAAAACAGAATCACTGAGCTGGCAAAGTGAGTGGGCACCACTGGGATGGGCAAAACATGAGAAAGGATGACAGACAGTGTCTGGGGGAGCAGAAGCCACAGGCACTGTGTGAGCAGGCAAACAGGAGGACCAGGGGGAACAGAAGGGAGGCACTAGCTGGCAGCAAGTGCTGAGTGACCACAGTGACAGTATTGCTGGCCTTTGCTGGAGGGTTTCACCTGTCCTGTGACTGCTACAGGCAGTGATGTCCCTGTACTTTACACCTGAGAATGTACACTTAGGAAAGGAACATATGGTCAGTTCTAAGGAAGACAAACCCCAAACCTCTCCAGCTAAGAGCCTAACCCAGCAAAATCTGCTCCTTTGGTTGCTGAAGTGAAAAGTGGCTGGATTTCACTGTGCCAAGATATTTAACCATTTCATTGTCAATCAGAGCTATCTCTACAAGCACAGGTCAGCTGCAGTGACCACTGTAGAGAGAGTACCAGAGCCACAAACAGGCCAGTCCGATGCTCAGGACCTTAACATTAGGCTGCACATTGAGCAGGATCCTGATTTCCATTTGGGAATTCAGCAAACCTGTCCTGTTTTGCTGAAGATGCCATCCACACAGCACCCTTTCATTCCCTGAGTCTGCAGCACATGGGCAATATCTGCCTGTAGCATCTATAACACTTTTGAGTTGTGCTGTACAGAACTGTGCTGTACTGCCTCATCTCACTGAATCTTTGGCTACATCGAGCCCAGGACCTGTGGTCTGGCGACCATCCTGCCACCTTAATTTTATCTACACCAAGAACATAGGAGCTGCACATTTACAGTCTGACTGTTTTCACTGTATATGTTTTCTCCGTTCTGCAAGTTCTTGGTTCTTTTTAGAGCCTGCAGTCAGCTTTAATCTACTTAGCTGGGATTAATGAGAGATTTGTTAAAGATTTAAAGATTTTATACTCTTTGCTTACAACTATTGTTATCTAAAACCATCAGGCAAAAAACCCCATGCAGACAAGCCATTCCTTATGCCAGGCACATCTGTCAGGTGTGCCAAGGCTGGTAATGTGATGTTGGTGGCTGATGCCTATTGGTGGCAGACCGGTGCCCCCATGGACCTGGTCAGAGAGCAGTGCTCAGACTCTGCCAGCTCAGAACATGGGTCACTGAGCTGGCATCAGCAGCTCACATTGTCACGGAGTTCAGCATTGATAAGAATGGAAAATTGGGACCATCCATGCAGACGAGGCTGGCATTGCCTGAGGGTGCATGCCTTACCCAAGAGAGGTGAGGAGGGAACTGGAGGCCCTGAGGGTTGCCTGTAACTGTATCCTACTACTCAAACCAGTATTGGTACTGGAGGAATGGAAGGAAGGAGGCAGTGGTTGTTTAAAACAGGAACTCTATGTGGCAATTCTTCTTGGTGGAAATGATAAAAACAGGTAATGCCAATAGGCACAGAGCTGAACTATGCTCTGCTGGGGGGGGCCCAGTCACAGAGGAGCCCCAGCTCACAGGTCCCTGGATCAGTGTTGCAGATGACTTACCTCATCAAGAGAAAAAGAGCAAGTCCTGCAAGCAAAGGCCCCAGGAAGTCCCAAGGACGGACCTACAGAGAATTCTTCCAATGCCGCTGGTGAGTAACCACAGGAGAACACCGCAGGAGAGCAACAGGGGTCTGTCAGGAACACTCTGTTCAGCTGACAAAAAGGTACCACCTCAGTAGAAACTCAAACCATGAATGAGCAGGTCTGTGTGAGGGATTCCCCATGCACTGTCCCTTGTTGCTGACCTATGGAGACAAGACTATCTTGTCTGGCAGATATGGAGGTTTCAGTGCATGTTCTGGATGAGCTTTCCTTCACCCCTAAGAAACTGTTTCACCCCTAAATACAAAGCTCAGGACATTTGCAAGTCCTTTGTGCAATATCAAAACCCCAAGAGAACATTCAGGAGTTCTGGTGGTTTGATAAAAATATCAGAAAACAACCTAGAGTGCGAGGAGGGGGACCAGGACCACCACACCACACAGCCCAGAGCACAAGGGGGACTGGGACCAGCTCCCCATGCAACACACGGTATGAGGAGGGGATCAGGACCAGCCACCTGCACAGCCCAGAGCACAGTGAGGCAGCTCTGTACGGAGCTGTGGGCTCTCCCCAAGCAGACATTGAGTCCCCTCTGGCACCTGCAAATTGCCCCACAGCCCGAGTTCCTCCTCCCACCCATGGCCCAGGCTTGCTGTTGGCCAGCCCTGCCAGTCTGCCCATCCCTGTCCCCATCTGGAGAACCAGCATCAGTCACAGTGCAGAATCTGCTGATGCTACACCACAACAGATAAGCAGACATTCTCCTCTCCTTTCCAGCCTGCAGGAGCCTTTGTGACAAGCAAAGTAGGGTGGTTTGCCTTGAGGTTAAACACATCCCTGACCCCTGACACTGCAGGGCCACTAATCATGGAGCCATGGGACATTCCTCAGGGCCACCATCCCACTCCTTCCCACTGCCCTCGGCCCTTCCTGCCCTGCACAAAGAACCCTGTCTCCAGCAGGACACACCAGTTGTTCCCAGTGGCCCTGGTCCTGCACTGTCTCCTGGTCAGACTCAGCTACTTCTCTGTGCCGTCAAGGACCAGTACAGGGAGAGTGACCCCTTGGAGTTGGGGGAATGGTCACCCCACAGTGTGGGGGCAGGCACCAAACCTGAGCAACGACAAGCAAAAGATGCTTCAGAGTCTGGCTGTGCTGCTGCCTCTCACTGGTGTCACACAGAGTAAATGCCAGTTTGTACCTTGTGCCTGATGCAGAGGGTCCCTTCATATTCCCACAACAGAACTCCCCACTCACAGGTAAAAGCACAGTTTATGAACTCACTTCTTTGTCCTGGAGACACTCAGTAAGACTTACTGTCACAGCCTGGAGCTGCATGCACTAAACAAACCAAACACACAGACACAGTGTTTTGAAACTGATAAGTGTGACATTTGTCACTTTAGAGGTAACTAACACCAAAAGTGATTTGGAACCAGTGAGATAAACACATCTGGGTTTTACAAGTGAAATGCAGACTCTCAAGAACAGCAAATCACACTTTCTTGCCCAAAAGCCCTTTTGGGGACCTTCCAGAGCTGAGGAAGGCCAATGGTGAGCTGCCCCAACCCCTGGGCTCTCCCATCCCGCTGCTCCTCACTGGATGCTGCCTGGAGCAGGCAGGCTATGACCCACACAACTTTCCATTTACCCTCTCCCCATGCAGGCAGCTCAGGGCAGTGGCATCCCATGTGATGCTTCATCCAAGAGCCCACCTGCATCCTCCTGGTGCTCCCCAGATCACTAGACACTCAGAGAAATAGGAAAAAAAAAGACAAAATCTTGATACCTGTCGTGCACGTCCAGATATTCCAGAGACCTTTCCAGTGCTGATGCCGAGCGCTGCGGCCCTGGGAATGACACTCAGGGTCCCTCCGCTGGCAGTGCCAGCCCTGTGCTGACCTCGTAGCTCTCCCCAAGGTCTTGGGGCTCGGATCCAAGCAGGAGCTGGACGTGGCACACGGCAAACCAGCAGGAATCCCACTGTGCTGGTCGGTAGAGGCAGAGGCTCGAGACAGCTCTCTGATGCACCGTGCCCATGAGCTCGCTTACCTGACGGCACAGGGGCTCTGCAGCTGGGGAGAGCCCTGAGGGACCTGAGCGAGCCCTGGTTGATCCACCTGCGGGACTGCCCAGCCATCCAGCCCCATGCTCCAGCCTCACACCCTCAGAGAAGTTTGAGGGGAGCAGGTGAGGACTTGGCAGAGGGAGAAACAGAAAATAAAGCAAGAGGACAGGATGGGAAGCGGGATCAGTTCTTATTCCTGAGTGTTTGGGCTGCTGGGCTCAGGCAGACTTTGCAAAGCAAGGGTGGACCCTCCTGGCAGGGCAGCCGGCAGCTGCCTCCCCACGCCGCAGTTTTTATAAATTCTGGGAAACACTTTTAGACAGTCACTGGCACTCATAAATTATACAACTAATTTGCATATTCCAGTCATGAGACATTATGCAAATGTGACCTGATTTGCATAATGGATTCCTCTCGTCGCTTCACTTGCTTCATGCTTTTAAAAAACGAAATAAAATGAAAGCACGGGAAGGTGAAAGCAGCAAGTTCCCAGCGTCGCTGCGCCTCCTCCCGCCACACCGTCACCCTCACCGGCAGCACGCTGGGGCGAGGGAGGGCGAAAAAACAAAGCCCCCACATGGGTTATTTCTTTAGTAATTACAACAAACAAACTTTCCCATGGTTGTGATGCTTCATCCCAAGTGACACGTTGGAGCCGATAAGGGGAACTGAAACCTGGCAGGTGGGATGAGCCCATGAGGGCCGGGGGCCCTCTGATGCCCCTCGCCATCGTGCAGAGTGCTCGGGCTGGGCAGTCCTGTGGTGCGAGACATTCCTGGACTCTGGTGGGACTTTGGGGGGAAAGCTTCCCTGCTGAAACTTCGACAGCACTCATCCTGAAAGGAGGGTGGGTGGGAGAGGCGAGAGGAGGTGTCACGTTGATTGTTTGTAGCAAAATACAGTGTTGACATGTCCAGAGGATGAGGCAGGATTGTCAGCCACCCCAGCCACACTCCAACAGTCGACGGCCATCCGTCCATCCCTCTGCAGTGACTGGTTTTGCTGCGAGCTCTTCCCTGCCCCCCTGCACCCGCGCGAGGCAGAGCCGTGCCAGGCGGCTGGCGTCCGTACCCTGTGGGAAAAGTTAACTGTAATTCTTCAGCTTTTAAAATCAATTAACCCGTGTGTTAATTAACATCAAGTCGACGGGAGGAGGAGGAGGAGGGGAGAGCGGGAGGGAGGAGGGAGGAAAAGAGCTGCAAGGGCGGATGGCAGCGGAGTTGGCACAGTGCCATCCATTCAGTGGCAACGCCACAGCTCCCTGTGATCGCGGCAGCGGGTATATGTTACGGGGGCCCTGTGCGCGGGCCAGACAGTGCCGTAGAGCCAAGGGAGATTATCCAGACCCCCAGGAGCAAACGGCAGGCAGCGACCGGAGGCACAAGTGCCAGGATTACAGACCAGGCTCCTCTGCCGCAAGCCCTTCCTCGGACGCACCCCGTGGGGACTGGGCTCCCCGCCAGCACCGCACAACTCGGACTTCCAGCACTTTTTCCCCCCTTTAGACGTCATTCTGCCGCAGTGGAGCCAGCACAACGGATGCTTTCACACCCTGCGAGACAAAGGCCGTCGTCTCCGCCATGACACCGCTCCGTTCCAAGCCGAGGCCGGCATCTTGGAGTCTTTAAAAATAAATGGAAAAGGGAAATGGGAACAATAAACACAGCAACTGAAAAAACCTCATCAACAAACCCCTTGTGCCCGCTCTCCATGCCAGGGGCAACATGGGCATCTGTCGCAGCAGAAGGCGTTTGTGTGGGGCTTTGCTTTTTTTTTTCTTTTTTTTCCCCGCAAGCTGTTGGTGTGTTTTGCCATTCAGGTTCGTTTACAATTAATGCCAAAAAAACCCCAACCACACCCAGACCAGTCAACAACAAACAAAAGGGAATAGCCGACATGGAGGAAGAAATGCCATGAGAAGCTACAAGAATGCGAGCTCCGGCCGGTGCCATTTGCCATTCGGACAACCTCAGGGAAAGGTGCCAATTCTGCAGCTCAGGAGGGACCCCGAGGAGGGAGCACGAAGGTCTCGGAACAGCACGCCGAGGGAATGAAGGGAGGAAGGAATACCGCTCTTACAGGGCAGGATCAGAGCTGCACACAGCCTCTGCTGGGAGGAGAGGGAATGTTTGACGGTGTAGCGAGATGCCTGTGTATGCACACGCACATGGAACAGTGCATACGGACACACAGACATGCACGCACACACCGCCTTGGCTCGGTGCAGAGGAGCTGTGTGAGTGGGGGGGTGAGGAGGTGTGTGTTTGCCTCTGTGTGTGCACACACGTCTGTGTGTGGATATTTATTTGTGTGCACGCGTGTAACACACACACACAGGGAGAAGTATGTTTGTGTGCCTTGGTGAGAGAGAATGACAGGGAGTGAGGAAGAGACAGACACAGACACACACACACACTCACCCACCGTCAGTATACATCCCACTTTTTGACCTAGGTATACACGGAAGACAAAATAAAAATCATACTGGAGCAGCAAGCAGGCAGGCAGAGATTTATCTACATTCACTGCTATCACCAGGGAGATGAATGGGGCCGATCTGAAGCCCTTCACGAGATCCACTATGGGAGTGAAGGAGGAGGAGGGATGCCACACAGACATGCACAAACTTGAAGACAGAGAGATTTGGAAGGTGCTACTTGTGAAACCCAGGTGGCACTCGGAGGGCGAGCGAGGGAAGGAGCCACACGGGCGCTCCGCAGGGTCTGGAGGGCGCAGGGCTTCTGGACGAGGGCGTCAAGGGACAGCTGGCTACTTACGTTGTCTGCGCTGCTGAGGATCCTGCAAGGTGTTCTGTTGGCACCGGGCGCTGAGCCAGGGAAGGGCACTGGAGACAAAAGGGAGAGACAAAAAATAAAGTCATACAACGGGAATATTAATTGCCTCTCTTGCGGATTTTACAAAACACACAAAATGTTTTCTTTTTGCTTGGTGTTTTTTTTTTTTTTGTGGATTGGCGCACTTCCCTTCTTCATGGAAAATACTAGCATGGGATTTACAGCCCAGCTACAGGGCTCAGGATTAACAGCGCTGGCATCTTTTGGGCATATTTTTTCTTTTAATGAATGAGCTTTCGCTGTTAATGAGGAATAATCGTTTGGCTAATGAGCTTTGAAACATTAAGAGAAAAGAGGTTTTTTTTCCCGTTAATCGCCCTGGTGCGACCGCATGGATGGATTACAAAAGACAGCAGTAGGAACGCAGTACAAAGAGGGGGAAACGTCTCCTGGAATGGGATAAATGCAGAGATGGGTGATGTGTCCCCGCACCTCTCCTTCCTTCGCTCTCTCTTACTCCCTCTCTGCCAACTGCTATGGGTTTCCATAACTCCGCAATCAAAGTGGATGCTCGGGAAAGATTATTATAGTCAAACAGCGAAGCGTCGGCGGTTAATGTCTCCAGTGTTTAATCATCATACAGTAGAATGGTTTTATGCATATTTCATTTGCATATCATTAAACCGCGCTAGCGCGGGACATTCAGAGCTGGAGAGGTACAAAGTTGGGGGGAGAGAGTGTGAGAGCGAGAACGAGACAGAGGGAGGAAGGTCCCTATGATGCCTATCTTCAAAAGCCAGGGACTTGTTCCATGATCTGTCTTCTCCTTTTATTAAAATCATGATGACTTGGAAACCTTTGAAGTTGGATATAACCTTGGATTCTTCTAATTCCAGCAGAGTGATGAATTAGAAAGGGGGAAATGATGCTGCGCTAGACATTTAAAGGAATATAAGCTCCAGTGGAATGGAAATAGGAGCTCTTTGGGGAACGAACTGGCAGAGCCAGCCACAGCTTCGACAAACACCACACTGCTGGGTTCATACTGGTGAAGGATACCAGAGTAATAGAAAAGAAATGAAGACAACATATACATTAAGATGGGGAATATATTTCTCTACTCTTTCTCTTTTCCTTTTTTAAAGGCACAAAGGAGGATGGAACCAGCGGTAATTTACACGCTAATTAGCGAACAGTTGCCTCTTTTTGTGTTTGTTTTTCTTCTCTCTTTATTTTGGAGAGGGCCGTTGTCACCGCTGAAGTGATTAATCAATTATTTGGTAGCGCAGATCCTTCTCCACTGGCACTGATCAAGAAGGGAAGGTGGTGGCTGCGGGGGGAGGAACACAGTGGGCTCTTTGTAGATCTTATACATGCACAACATATTAATTGGTGTCTTTATAAAGCTCCCTCAATAGACTATTTCTTTCCTGGAGACCAGCAGCTGGTTAGCCACCGTTGGCGACTCTTCAAACATCCTTTTGGCTGGGGGCAGTTCTGCCACTGTTTGTTGTTGTGTTTTATTTTCTGTCTCCACGGTGGGGGCTGCGGGTGCGGCGCTCCCACTGCCCACGCTTCCGCACAGGAGGCGGACAGACAGACACACCGAATCGGTACCAAGACAATCTCTTGAGCTGAATGCAGAACTTTGCCTCCAAATGAAATACTGTTTTATATTTAAATTATCTTCCTTTCCCTCCCCCACTTCTCCTCCAAGTCTTTGTCTCGGTTATGAATATTCAGATGAGCCGTGATGTGATTACACTGTACAATTACTTGTGTCCATGGTAGAGGCAAAGGCACCAAGGAAAGACAGAGCCAGATGAGCTTGGAGCTCATCTGGGGTTTGTTTTCCATATTCTCCCCCATCTCTGTGGCACTGCGGCACATGCAGATGTCGCTGTTGTTCTTTATAAAGTCCTAATGATATGCAAAAGCATAACGACCCCATTTGGGTTCACAGCATCAATGAAATATTATTGGGGGGGGGGGAATCCTGACTGAAGGAATGTCCACATAAATTATTTTTATTTAAATGAGTCGAAGAGGTGGTGGTGAGGCAGAGGAAGTCACATGAATACATGCATAATGTGAGCACGCAGAAAGGTTATCGCCAAGGAGAAGAGGGTTTTGCACTGTGCCTGGGACAAACAGGCTCGTTGGGGAATCGCTCAGCCCACCGCGTGATTTACTTATTTATCATCACTCATCCCTCAGCCAGGGCACTGGGCATGCTCGCTGCCGGAGACCCAGAGTGCTGAGACCTGGATGCCTGGATGATTCCGTCTTCCTTCAGAAGCGTGTGGTGGGAGGGGGACAGGAGAAAAGGAACCAGAGGGAGAATGTGCTGAGTGTCACAGCTTGGTGACAAAGGAGGGGCTTGATGACAGCTCGAGGGTGGTGTGACAACATGCTGCCCAGGCACTGGCGCTGGCTGATGCCAGGCTGGCACATGCACTTCCCAAGGGACGCAGTGCTGATGCAGTGCCCAGTGGGTCCCTACCACAGGTCAGTGGGCAGAGCAGTTCTGGACGGTGTGTCTTCAGGAAACCTGCTGGGGACAGGGAGCCCAGAGCTGGCCAGATCCACACACACCCATTTTCCTCAGAGTAGTGAGTGGTATCTGGATATTGCAAGCATGAAAATACGTGTGTGGGACCCCATGGCTGCTCTGTCCTGCTGCTCTTCTAGGCTGTGACCTGCACCCATGTTCATCAGCAAGGGGTGAACAAAGAGAGACGGAGTGGGCTGGCAGCCAACACCACCACCCTCACCTGAGCTGTGTGACATCATCTTGGGGATCTGTGCCTTGTGTGTCTGCCCTGTGCTAGTCCTGGATGGCTCTGCAGCCTCCATACACCCTTGGTGGTGGGCAGGACTCAGGCTGCAGACAAATGTGGTGCCAGAGAGGGAACATCAGTCTCCTCTCCACTGGAAAAGGGAGAGGCAGGTGGAGAGGAAGGTCAATTGCAGATGGAACTCGCTGCAAGAAGAGCTTCCTCTCCTCTCATGCCCTAGGCACGCACAGACTGTACCTGCAGCTCCAGCAAGGCTCCTGAGCAGTCCCTTCCTGGTCAGAGTGGGGTGGACCTGCTGCCTCTGAGGCTGTGCCGTTTGTCACAGCAGTGGTACGAGAGCCTACCCAAAGGAGGCTGTGACCCCCAGGCACACAGTAACCAAGGGTCCTCAGGCAGGCCACCCTCAAAGGGACATGAGACCCCAAACAGGAAGGTTATGCTCTAGTCTGTGTCTAAGGACCGAAGTGCAGCAGGTGCAGTGACCCGTAGCCAAGAGAGTGACTGCTGTCCTGTGCTGCTTAGACTGCTGACCATGGGCCCATTCAGCTGTCACCTGCCTCCACTCCCTTCCCACATCTCAAGAGATGCATCCCTGTCACATACACACACAGCACCAACTCTTCTGCAAGGGCACTCGGGAGAGCAAGCACAGACAACAGGCTGCCAGGTCTGAACTAAACCAGGACACAGGACTGCCTCTGGGCAGCAATCCCAAACCTGAGCTCTGCTTGCTGTTCCAAACCACCTGTAAAAATCCAGGACAGGAGCGATAACCCAACCGGCAACCTGACTCAGCAGCTGTGTGTGAATGTCCTGTCCTCACAGTCTCAGGGGCACAACTAAGACACAAAAAGGTTCCTTGTTGCCACCCTGTGTTCAAACCAGCCTGGACCCAAGTGAGCAGTCCAAAGCTGTCTGTAAGGAACAGAGCATCCACAATCAGATGGAGTGGTCTGTGCAGATCATAGAATCATATAATGGAATGGGTTGGGTTGGAAGGGACCTTAATGAACATCTCGTTCCAACGTCCAACCCATCCACCCCAGATGATGTCTTCCTGACCCCGATGTGGCTGGTCTGGACCCTGTGGAACAGCAACTCCAGAGGTGTTGCTTGGCCCTGCCCCATCTTTCTGGTCTCCAGCCTCAAAGCAGCTCAGTGCCAGGGTGTCTGTCTGGACCAAATGGAACCTGGAAACACAGGATAACTGAAACCAACACAAAGCAACTCCAAAGAAAGGCCATGCCTGCACCATGCCCTTGTCATCATTCCAGGTGCTGAATCCTTCCCCCACCTGGTTTTGCCCTGGCAGCAGAGCACGGTGCCCAATCCCAAACAGTGCCTTGGCATGCCATGAACCTTAGGGAAGAGAATAAAAGGGCAGAGCCTGAGAAGAAAGCTGCCCTAAGATGGAGGGTAAGACAAGGACTGAGGTTGGGAGGCACAGACAGTGGCAGTGCAGTGCCACTGTCCCTTCCTGTGCCCATGCTGACAGATAGCCCTCCCTGCCAGCTCTGCAAGGCTGTTCACTCTGCCCATGGGCCCCAGTGCAGCCAGGGCAGCCTGTCACCCTGACCACAGCTGGCTGCCAGCCTCAGAGGGTGTTCTGACCCAGACATGGAGCAGGCTAGAGAACAGATCAATAGCTCTAGCCATGCCCTCACTTGGTTGCCTCAAGGTTCCTGCTCCCATTGCATGTTGGAGAGGGTCTGGCATGCCAGAAGGAGCCCAAAGGCTGGGGACTGCCAAAGGAATCCAGCAGCCTGCTGCCTGTCCCCAGGGTAGAGAACACCCCAAGGAAGATGGAGCCAAGCCTAGGACCCAACCCAGTCAGTCATTCTTTCCACAAGTGCTGCTGAAGAGGAGTAGGAAGGAGACTGTGCTGGGAAAATGAGTGTGGAGCATGCAGTGGGTGAGGCAGAGGAGGTGGGGATGCAGCAGATGGTGAGAGTCAGGATGATCCCTGCACGACACCCCCACCCCACTCCACACAGCACCCAATGTGCTCCCACGGCTCCAGCTGCCAGGCTCCCACCACTTCCTGACATGCACAGGTGGGAAATATTACCAGAAATATCACTCCCTGTGTCCCAGACACTCTGATTTCAGCCTGTGGCCGTTTGGAAGCAAGTCTCCCCATGGAGACTTTAGGAAGGGGCAGTTCCTGGAGCACTGCAGGAGCCGTTGAGCTGCTTGTCAATTCACCAAATACCATGAAGAAATTGCTATTTAGGAAAAGGAAATTCAAGCATTTATAGAACATATTGCTATTCAAAACACCAAAAGAATTGTTTTGCAAATAGTAGCACTGCTGAAGAGGGGAGAGAAGTACATCAGTCATTTGATATTACATATAAGCAGTTTATTAAAGAATTAAATATTTATAGACTATAAAGCAAGCAGGGCGATGAGTCGCAAACAGCTTGCTGAGAAGTATGTTATAAACAATGAGTCTGTCAGGGACTAATAAAGTATGGGGAACGCAAATGTTTTATAAAATCACCAGGCCAGCGATGAATCTCCACAGCTGAGATGCTGCAGAACCCGTGGAGGTTCCTGCTGCACCACGAGCCTGGAGCCAGCATGGGAGGGATGGAGTAGGATGGTGCTGTGTGAGTGCAGACACGCTGAGCACTCGTGGGAA